AAGAAGGGCTCCTTCTGTCCCTCTGCCCAGACCCCAGCACCTTGCTGCCACTTCCCCTCAACCCCCCACCAATATTCTTGCACCAACAAGCCAAGCTGCACAAATCTGTTTGCAGCTGACTCTGACACAGCCACAGCATCAAGGGAATGATTTCACCCATGACAGGACAGCCTAAGCCTTCCACTTTGGTAATTCTGCAGCTCCAGGGTACTATTTGATGGGACTGCAGATCCAGGGATGGCTTGGGGATCCAGGACACAGAGCATGCAACTGTTGTAGCACAGGCAAGGGACCACTGCAGTACTGAGGGTGACAGTGCAAGACATTCCCACTGGTGACAGCCCCCCAACATACAGGTGCCTCAGATCCTGTCCAGGTGAATTATGCAGCTCTGAGTACTTGCTCTCTGCATATGTGAGTGCTTCAACAGCTTCCTCTATTTCCTGCTTTGTGCTGCCTCTGAACAGCTGCCATACTCATGCTCAGGAATTGGTTCCTACAGAATCTATTAATGCTGGGTTATAAAGAGGCAGAGTGGGAATAACCTCAGCATCTCACCCTCTCCCTCATGAGAAACCTCCTCAGAGCCCTGAGAGAGCACACAAACCAGGGCCACAAGTTTTAGGATGTACCAAAAACATGCAGCAGAAACAGAAAGGACAGTCTTGAGTCTGTGCCACCTGTGCTTCCCTCCCACGTGGGCCTCCGCAAAATCGCTGTGCAGAGGCTGCATGGAGGGGTGAGGACCATGATTTCACTAAGTCCCAGGGAGCCTCTAACCCTGTGAGAGGCTGGCTGTGCTGGCCACCCACATGTAAGAGACTCCCAGCACTGCCCTGGTGCCAGGGCAGGGTAAAGGCACACCCAAGGGAATTGCCCACCATTTCCCTGTGTACCTGGGCTTTTCTTCCTGGTCTGCACAAACTCTGAGTGCCGCAGGGCACTGGGAGCCGTCCGTCTGTAGAAGCTGTTTCTCTGCAGCACAGAGCCCACCCTGTGTGCCTCCTCGGCCTCCTGCTCCCAGAGCTGGCTCCAGTCCGGCCGGCCCGTGCGTACCCTCGAGTGCTCTGCTCCACTGCTGCTCTTGGCTGGCCTCCCAGGCCCCGGGGCTTCTCCTTCCAGCTCCCCACAGCCGTCGCAGTCAAGGACGCATGTCTCACGCTGTGTGTAGCAGGTACCTGACCCCAGGTTCACACCACCATCTCCCGAGGACCTGACTGCAAATGCAGGAACTTCACAACTGCTGTCTGGACTGCTGTGGTCCATGACATGGCCTTTGGGCCTCCTGTGCTGTTCACTGTCTTCTTCCTCTACTTGGTCCCTGATATCTACACGTGGCCTTTCCTGCTCTCTATATGCTTTAGGGCCTCCATCACCTCTATACCACTTTTCCCCTTCCCTATATATTTGATTATCTCCATACTCTCCATACTCCTCTCTATACTGCCTTCTCCTCTCTCTATACTCCCCAGAGTCCCTCTCTTGCCTGTGCCACAGCTCCTTTTTCCTATAATGTCTTCCATGCTCACTGTGGTCCCTAGGATCTCTGTAGTCCTGATCCCACCTTCCACTCTCCCTACAGTCTCCAAGGCCTCTATCCTCTCCATACTGCCCTCCTCTCTCCCTATACTGCCTAGGTACTCTGTCCTCTCTGTTCCGCCCTCCTCTTATCTCAGAACTGCAGTTTCTGTATTGCACACCCTCCCTCTCATACACCCTGTAGTTTCTGTCCTCTGTATCCTGTCTTTTGCCTTCCCAAACATTGTCTGCTCTCCTGCAGTCCATGTACTGCATCTCTCCCTTCCAAAAACCTCTGCAGTCTCCATTCCTGCTCTGTTGGTCCACGGAGATGTCCTCCTGTCTCCTGGAACTGTCCCAGCCACTGTCTGCTCCTCGGCTGCCCGGGTACGGCCTCCTTGTTGCCCTGGGTCTGTCGCTGCAGCCAGCCACGTCCTGTCTCCGTACAGCACAACAATCCTCATATTCCCAGCTGAGGGGCCGCGGTTCCTGTCTCGGATCCTCCATGCAGTGTTTCCTCTAAGGACAGGTGCACATAGTCCTGTGGGGTGTGGCGCAGGGGCCGGCTCCCCTCACCCTCTGCTCCCTGGGCCCAGCCCCACGCTGACGGCGCTTCTCCACTCTGCTCCAGCACTCCCGTCCCAAGTGAAACGCAGGTACTGCTTCCTGAAACCAGCCAGCAAAGGCAGGGGCCCAATCGCTGGCAGCCTGGCCTCCTCCACCTGCTGCCCAAAGTAATCAGTAACCAGCCCCGAGCGAGGAGGGGAGCCAGGCTGGGCAGGCCAGCACCGCCCAAACCGGCTCCACCGCTTTGCCAAAACCTCTCCGCAGGCAGCTCTGAGGCTGGGAGGAGGAGGGCACTGGAGCATGCAGAGGCCCTGCCCCGAGACCAATGTCCTCAGGGAAGGGAAACAGAGCATGTGTGGGACCGCAGGAAGCCACAGAGCAGAGGTGGGATACCAAATCTTCTACTAGATCTTCTTTCCACCCCTGGTGACATGGAGGAAACAATATAGTCTAGAAGAGGCTGGGCTCTGCTGCTGGGGCAAACTGAGGCCTTCAGGCTGCCCCTGGCTCAACCCTGATGCTGAGCCCTTTCTCTTCCCAGCCCTCATCACAGTCACATGAAGATCAGGAAAGAAGCTGCTCCCTGCAAGACAGACCAGTGCCTCCGCAGTGCCATGCAGTCACAGCTGCATGGTTCCCTGCTCCAGGGGAACAGCTGGTCCACCTGCTGACAGGAGCAGGCTTGAAGGGATTACTTGTGTTATGGAGTCTGGTGCCAACACACCAAATTAGTGTTCAGAAGGCTATAGAAACACGCACTCCAGTAATGCTTCTCACTGCAGGGCACAACATATTCCCAATTTTCCCTGCCCAACACAGAGCTCCTATAAGAAACCAAGAGACAACCACAGCATGCCCTTGACAGAGAGCACGAGAGTCTGTAGATGTCATCCATGTCTCAGGTTCTTGCAACACTTGTTAGGAACGCAGAGCCCATGCCCTCAGCTGGTAGAAGACAAAAATAAAACCAATGGACTCTCCTACTCCAACTGCAGGAGGGCAAGCACTAATCCTGCCCCAGCCTGGTGATCAGTGAAACCCCAGTGTGCTCACAAGACCAAAAAAGCAACCCGATGATTTTAAACATTTACTGTAGAAAGCCATGTATTTTCTACTCTTTCTTTGGCTTCCCAAAAGATACAGCGAAGGGCTGGGTTCCCCACTGTGAACTATTTCCCCTATAAGACTATGCCTGCCCTGCCTTGGTTGCTGGTCAAAGCTCAGTGAGAGCTTTTTTGGAGAATGTCTCCATGTTCCTAACAGTGGTAAGGCAGAGGTCATGTCTCAGACATGCCACAAACATGTTTTGCTGAGTTGATGCAACACCAAATTACTGTTCTGCCTGCTGCACTAGAGCTGGGCTAGCAAGACATGCTCTCTAGCCAGAGTCAGATGTGTCAGAAGGGGCATGGCAGAGCTTGGGTAGGATACATGTTTATCAGGACTAGAGAGGTCTCTTGAATGAGAGAAAAATCCCCTATGACTACTGAATGGATACTAGCTTGAGGATGCCTCAGGACAGAGCATTAGTTCTTGCCTAAAACTTCTAGTTCCAGGAACCAACAGGTTCCACAGGATCATTCCTCTGCCAGGAAGCACTGGGACAGTAGGAGACACTTCCCAGCAAGATCCACACCATCAGAAAATTTTCCTTGAGATTCAGCCTAAACTTTCCTCTTCCTACCTTCAAGTTATTTCATCTAGCTTCAAATCCTCTAGGCCTCCTTCCAAGCATCCCTTTTGCACACCACTGACATGAAGGCTGTTTGTCACCCTGTTTTCCTGGTGCAGCCATACCAGCCTTCATTCCCATGTGCTCTGCCTCTGACATGATCGTGCAGCTAAGTGTCTGGGCTCCCCAGTGCTGATTGAGCAGTGGGAGGATGGAGGCAATAAAGTCAGAGTGAGTAACTCCCAGGCAGGAGCTGGCATTTCACTCCATCTCCCGCATGCAGTGCCCACATTTCCTGCACGTCGTGGGTTTCAGTAACAGAACTGCAGTGTCAGAGCTCCTGGGAGAAGCCTGGGAAGGAACTGTGGGAGAAGATGTATGTGATTCCATCTTTCCATTTGTCTGCTGTAATATCAAATGTAACATAATTAAAGCACTGATCTTTACATGGCATCTTCAGGTTTCAGAGACCAAATGTGCTGATATAATAATGGGAAATTCCTCTTTCCTGAGTAATTTTTTTCTGGGGTGAAAGAACAAAAGTCACATTTTCAGCTACAGATATGCCACAATTATAAGCTCTTTGCTGTTGTTACCAACAGAACAGTCCTATTTTCTTGTCCTTGACTTCATGGATGACAGGAGCAGGGGCAGGTTTAACTTTTTGCCCAGTAATCCATCCCATTCCCAGGTGAGGTTCAGTCCCCTTCTGTGCACTCCTTCTCATATGAATAACAAATCCCCACAAGTCTGTATCAGCACCAGAGCAGAAACCACAGGAAACCCAGTGCCCTGACAGGTTGAGAGCAGTCACAGCACAGACATCAACTCAAATCTCAATGGCAGGACCACCAGCAAAGCACCCTGAAGTTGCTGCTTACTCCCCTGCACATAAGAGAGGATGAAGCAGGGAGATTGGAACTGCAGCAGCAGTGGTTTTGCTTTCCATCACAGACATATGGGAGTAGATGAGATGAAAGCTCTGGATGTATGGTGGGGCTGGAAGAGATGGGAGAGTTGGAAGGAAACAGGGGTGAGGAAGACCAGGGCAAAGGGATATCCAGAGAAAGACACTGTCATTCTCCAAAGCAAGATCATGATAATATATACTGCAACAGTACTTACAAAATGATCAAAATCAAGAATTAAAGGGTATAAAACACTGCCTTCAACAGTGTCTGTAAAACAGCAGAGGAACCTGTGCTCCTGAAGCATTCCCCATCCCATGCTGTTGTAGACTCACCTCTCAACTCCTGCAGCTCCATGCTGAGGCTCTCAATGTTGGAGTCACAGAAATCAAGGTTTTCCATGGTCTCTGCTCTCACCAGCTCATCCTGCTGCTCCTCCAGCATCAGGCTTAGCTCAGCACGGGTCTTGCTGTACGCCTCCAGATCTCTCTCCACCTCTCCAATTCTAGTCATCAGGATGGAGCTGGAGGAGGCCGATCCTGCCTGTGTCAAGTCCTCACATCCCTCCTCCACTCGCTGCTCAGGGGTGCTGGGCTGAAGCTGTGCAGGGGCCACGTTTCTCCGCTGGCTGCTGGATGGAGGCCGGGGCGCAGGCCGGGAGGGTTTGACCGAGAAGGACAGAGACCTGCCTTTGGGCACCCGGCCACCCTGCCCGTGCACAGCGGCTGTCGCCAGGCTGCTGGGCCGAGGAGGGGGTGGCCTCAGGGCCCTTCTCCTCTCTGCCTGCCTGGAGTGGGACCCAGATTCAGGAGACCCACGGACAATGTCCTTCTCAGAGCTGTAGTCCAAGATGGAGAAGTGGCGGGAGACCTTGTCCTGCTCTGCACCAGTACTTGACAGACTCTTCTCAAACTGGGCCAGCTGCTCCGTCAGTTTGGAGTCCAGGTCCGTGCAGCTGTCCCCCTGCACTGCAGGAGGGCAGCACTCCCCCCAGCTCCCAGCCCGTGTGTCCAGGCTCACCTGGGCAGTTCCTAAGCTGGAACAGGGCTTGGACTTCTCCAGTTTACTGTCCATCCAATTGTCTAGGTCCTGGGTCCTGCTCTGGCTCTCCTGGGGCTGGGATGCTGCCCAGCTATTAGCAGATGAAATCACTTGGCTCCTGCAAGGATTTTGGGGGATGTGGAGAGCCTGCAAGGGCACAGTGGAGCTGTCTCCATCATGCTTAGGGAGGGAGTGAGTTTCTGAGTTTCCTAGGGTCGCTGAAATAGTCCCCCCAGGCTCCAGCTCACCTGCTTGGCCAGGCCTGTTGCCCTGTGGGGGAGGCAGCTGTGCAGAGGGGAGAATGCCATTGACTGACTTTGTGTGGTTAGAGGGGACTGAGCCCACCATGCCTTCAGGATGTGGCTCTTGGTGTCCTGTGCTGGGAAAGGCCTGGGGCTGTCTCAAGTCAGTGCCAAGAGGATCCTCTGACCTCCCTGCCTTGCGAGACAAAATGGTGGAAGGCTCAGGATATGGAGTCAAGCCATCCTCCTTTTCCCTGCTGTCTTTCTGGGGTAAAGGATAAGTTTCAGAGCAAGTGATTTCTGGATCTTGATGGATGTTCAATCCACAACTGCCTCCACCTTGCAGATCCCCAGCACTCACCTTTTCCATGCAAGCCTCAGAGGCTTCCAGCCTCACAAATCTGTGTGGAAAGATGCCACGTTTTCCTCCCAGTTCCCCCTCCAACCAGCCATCCTCCAGAACGCCTACAATCCGAATCCTGTCACCCACATCAAAATCCAGTTCCTTGGACTCCAGGGCTTGGAACTGATAGAGGGCAACACCATAAGTACTCCCTGGCTCCTTGTCATCTTTGCAGGGCACCTGTACTGTTCCATTGGTGTCACAAGTCCCTGTGGGCTCTGGATCCACCGAGGTTCCTGGTGCTCGCAGAGGAGTAAGCAGTTCCACAAAACCCTCTGGGAAGATGCCCCTGCAGCCTCTGAGCTCACCCTCAAACCAGCCAGGCTCTGGGACACCAATAATGTTGATCACATCCCCTTCCCTGAAGTCCAGTTCCTCCTCCAGCTGAGCAGACAGGTCCATCAGGGCCTGGGCTTGGCCCAAGGAGTAGGCAGGCACCTCCAGGGGAGGGCTCTGGGACAGCTGACGTCTCCGAACTGAAAGGCACAGCTCCCTCACACATGAGGAGGGGAAAAAGCCCTTGGAACCCCAGCTGCTTCGGCCCTGCAGCCAGCTGGAGGCCAGGGACCCCCCCAGGATCACCAAGTCTCCTGCAGAGAATGAGACACAACAGTTCAAAACTACTCTCATTATTGCTTCCCACCTCTTATTCCTGCCTCCCCGTGCTCCCTCCTGGCTGTGGGTGAGGACTAGCACTCTGTTATAGCACAGTGCATGCTGGGGATGCACACAAGCACAGATGGGATTAAGGCATGAAGTATCAGCAGCCTCTTGCACATCTAAGATACACAGTTTGGCTGCAAAGCCGTGCAGGTGCATCAAAGCTTTCATTCTCCTCCAGATGCAAGTCTAAGATTTGGAGATTAGAGGTCAGTTAAAAGCCAATTGTAAATTTACTATGATCAGGTGATGCCAATTTTTGGAGTTCAATGAGTAATGACAGATCATGAGAAACCTGTATCAAAGTGGCAGAAGCCTAGAGGACCATGGTGGATTTGACATGACCCACGTCATGAGGAATTAACAGATTCACCTCTTTCTTCTGTCACTCTAGGCAGATGCTGTGACTAGGTTCATCCATCCGGAAGGACAGGTGAGGCTTTTGAGGTGCAAAGCAAAGGAAGGGAATGGAGATTACCTCTCTGCAATGACAAGCTCCCTGGCTCTTGAGATGTGAAGTCATTGGTACAAACAAACAGTTTTTCTCCCTGCTTCAAAGGGGGAATATCCACAGGTTCAACAAAGCTGCTAGGAAACTGCCCTAAAAGGAGAATGAGTTGTCAGCAATGAGTCTTTCCTGTGACCTACCATCATCTCCACCCTCCTTCCAGATTTTGGGATCTATTAATCTCTTGCTAAATGAAAATACCCAGTTACCCTGGATGCCTCAGTAGGCTGGTGGAAGAACAATGAGTTTGGGAGCCAGGAATTCCTGGGGTTTTAAGTACTTAAGAGCTAAGAGAGAACAAAAAGCTTTGAGCCCTTGGCTCACTCCAGGCAACCACAGGCTGCGTGCATTACTGGGACTGTGCCATCAGCATGGAGCTTCCAGGAACAGACACGCTGGGTTTCTCTGCCCTTAGTGCTTCTTTCCCAACCCACACCCAAGGTGAGGACTAAGGGATCCAGTAGTGCTGGATCATGGGAGCAGTGTTTTCTGACTGGGCATATCCACCTGGTGCTCCTTCCTCCATAGGGCTTGGCCCCTGTGCAGTCTCAGCACAGAATTCAGGCTGCCACCCTCAGGATGGCCACACCTGTGAGTCACAGGCTCCGTCACAGCTTCAGCACTGCTGGGACTCCAGGGACCTTCCCCACTGTCATTCTGTGTATCTGTTTCACCATGGCACATTTGTTTGCTGCCAGATGATACCCATCAGATACTAATTTCAGTCCTGAGAGCACATGACATGGCAGAGCCCACTGCAAAGGCCACTAAAAATGTCTTTCTCATATAATTTGAGGCAAGGGGATATGATGAAGTATGGGCTAGTACCACACCCATCACTGCCTCTGGGTTACCTAATATTTTCTAATAAAACCTAGGAACACACACTCAGAGCTTTACACTGTGTTTAGGCAATTTGACACTTGCTATTCTCTGCTGCCTCCTTCACAGTTTTAACCAACTCTTTTTCCTTATCTTAGTTTCCTGCTTTGTACATGGAAACAACATAATGCTGTAAGAAAGGAATTACTGTACATGGAGTTACAATAATTATTCCACAGAGTAATGAGTACTAGGCTGCAACACCTCCACAGCTTCTATTCTAAAGTGCTTTTCCAATTCCCCATAACTTTAACTTAGAAAGCTGGGCAGAAAACTACAACAGCTGTTCCAAGGGAAAGCAGGAATGCAATTGGGTTTTGAGTTAAAGGTCATTAAAAACATTCAGTTTGACTTCAGCATGTTTCTTTATCTTTGAGCTATGACACACATCTGTTTGTTATTCCTTAATAGCTTAATCTTCTATATAACAACATTACCAGTTATCCTGGGAGACAAAATTCTGTTGTTAACTGCACACATAATCCTTGCCCAGTGACTTCAGCACCAGCAAAAGGATCAGGGACATGTTCATTCAATGCCACTTATCAGTCACATGGAGCACAGGAGGGAAGTGCTCCTGTCCACCTTGGTTTCAGACAGTACACAGCTTGTGGCTGTTAGGAGAGCCCAGACTGCTGCTACAATAGCAGCCCCATCTCTACAGCCAGGGATGGAATCAGTCCCACCCTCATGCTGAAGACAGAGGCAGGCCTATGCTTTGAAGAGGCCTGGCTTTCATCTCCCCAAGAGCTCACACATCTTCTTAACATCAGGATTAAGATGAGAAAGAGCTGCCTAAACAGAGACTATGAGACTCTTAGTGTTTCACTAAGAGCTTTCTGCTGCTTCTGAAGTTTCTCACACCCCGCTAAAAGTTTAAGAGACTTGCACTTTCAGGCACCTAGATATTGATGGCAATTTGTGCAGGAAGATGCTTTGAAACAGAAAGGAGGAAGTGGGGCTGAGTCAGAGGGCCTGGGGGGGACACACGGTCACTGTTGTTCTATCTCCACTGAAAAGGTCACTTGGACTGGTTTCCAGAGTGGATGCATTTCCACTCTCAGTGCATCTGTTTCCTTTCTCCCCTTCCACTACCACAGCAGGTCAGCACATAAACTAGCCAGGAAATGGGCAGTCTCTCCACAGAGACTGGAACAACCAGTATTGTGAAGCTCCTATCTCCTCGAGAACTGACTCTCCACTAACCTCTCTCAAAAAACAACACACAAGTTTGTCTGAATAGTTGACACAAAGCTGGCAGGAGACCAGTGGCAACTTGGACTCTCAGTCCCAATCAAAGCGCATGAAAGATTTAGTAAATCAAATCAGGCTCTTCCCCACCAAGGGAAGACGTGCTCACAGAGTGCACATTTAGCTGGCACTTGTACAGACCCAGGTGCAGGCATTTCCAGCTCTTACCTGTCACACCTTCCTTCTTGCCAAGGAGCCAAAACTCATCCACCACAGCCAACACCTCGATGACATCTCCCACGAAGAGGGGCAGCTCTTCAGAGACGCTGGGACAGAAATCAAAGACTGCCCGCACCACGGAGCCAGCCTCCATTGTGCAGGGTCTGAAGGCAGGTCAGTGCCTAAGGCTGAGAGAGTGAGAAATTTGTCACCATCCAGAAACACCTGAAATTATCACAGATAAGCCCAGGAAGTAAAGCCCTTCCTGAGCACAGAGGCAAATGTGGGGAGATCCTGTCCTGAGCTCCCTGCCAACCCTTTGCCACATGCTGCAGGAGCCAAGGGACTGCAGCAATGCAGCCCCCATGGTCTAACCTGCCTTGTCCCAGCCCTCTGGCTATCTCTGTAGGATCATGTGTTTGTGTTACAACAGGGGGGGACAAGCAGCAAGAAATTTGGAAGTGAATTCCCGTCAGGAAGGAAGCCAGAGGAGGAGAGGAAGCTCAGCATTTCCCTGACATGTGGGGCACAGCTCAGCCTGACAGGGCCTGGTGGGCAGCCAGCACCACCCACCTGCATGTCCCACCACACATTCTCTGGCAGGATGGGGACAGGAATCCCCCTCCCCATGCCACCACTCAGGGCCACAGGAACTGCATGCTGAACCAGCAACACAATTCTGGCCCAGCAAGAGAAGAGGCACAAGGTCCTCTCAGGCAAGCTCATAACACTATCCTCATTCTCAGACCTGACTGGAAATATTCTTTCTGCCTTCTAGGTACCTGGCTCAGACATTCACTGGGTAGCCCCACCATGGCTCTTGGCAGAAGTCAGACTGAGATGAGGGTGCAGACCCTGTACAAAGCTCTGGGAGCCAAAGCTAAAATTCCTCCTGGCAGGAGACTTGAAAGCAGGCGAAGATCTCCTCGTCAAGGGCTATGTCCTGGGTTCCCCCTTACGCTGGAAGTGGCTGTTGAGGACACTCATCTGTATAATTTCTGCTTTTCAGCCTCACTGTCAAGGAAATACAGTGCACCAAGGCAGCAGCAGTCCTGCAGCTTAAGCTGCTCCTTTGCCTCCTCCCAAATTCCTCAGGATGGGAACAGAAAGGTTCATCCATCCAAAGCAACCAGAAGCTTTAAGATTATTCCTCACCTTCCCCTCAGACCAGTGAGTTTGCTTTCACCTCCTGACCCCCTGCACTTACAGGCACAGGACAGCAATGCCAGCACCTCTCTGCGGTGCTTTCAGAGCCCTGCCCTCTGCGACGGTGGGACATCGGCTTGGCACAGGCTGCTTTCCTCCCACATCACAAGCAGCCCCCGTTCTTGGGGGTTTGGACACACCTTCCCTGCCGTGGGACCGTTCTCCCCCTCCCCAGAGCGGCTCCAAGCGCACAGTGAGCAGTCCTGCTCCAAGCGCCGCTGACACCCGTCCCATGTCAGCAGGATTGTCACCCCCTGCCCAGCTACGGGCAGAGAGAGCAGTGACAACTCAACAAAACACGAACACACGGCACCCCCAAGGGCAGCCTTTCCCCGTACAGCCACACACAGCCCACCTGAGCCCCGGAGTGTCAGGAAGAGGGGAAGCTAACACAGGCAGGAGAAATACGTCCCTGCTAACGAGGGGCAGCCAACTTCCAGTGAGAGTGCAGCGGGGGATCCAGGCAGGGAAAGGCTTTCTGCTGACGGGACCGTTCTGTTTATCCAGTCCGACTCACCTCCTGGGAACAAAGCGGGTTTGTACTCAGCAGGAACAGCTTCCTCATCACGTCCCTCCCCGCCCCCAGCCATTCCTCGGCTGCAGCCAGCACGCTGTGCCCCTGGCCACCCTCACCTCTGCCATCCTGTCTGTCACTCCTATTGCTCTCCACTGCCTTCCCCATCGCACGTGGGCTCCCTGGGACACAGGCTGTCCCTTTGTCACCAGCTTTGTGCTGGCTGTACAAACAAAGAGCCCAATATCCAGCAGCAGACAGCACTCTGCCACCAAAAAGGGATGAATGGACTGGAGTGAATCAGGAGCACAAAGAGCTGCAGTTCAGGATAGCAGAAACTCACTGAGGCGGAAGGAGTAACAGTATTAAAAACATGACCATGCGGAGCAAGGAAAAAGATGGAAGAGCTATCAATTAGCTTAAAAATACTAAAGACAAGTGAGGATCCTTGCTGTTTGAGGTGGGGTGTCTGGGGCATGCTGCTGCATGTTCTCATGGGAACAGGAGCAGCAGCAGCAGGCGCAGCAGCCCCTTGCAGGCACCAGGCTGCCAGCTGAGCTCAGGCTCCTAGGAATCCTTACTCTGAATATTCAAACTTCACAGCAGCACTGGACAAAGAGGGAAAAACAAATTGCAGGCATAACTGCTGCCTTGGGGTAGTTTCTCCAGGAGCACATGATGGTACAGTGACATTTCTTGTGTCTTCTGTCAAAGGTGTAATGTAAGAATGGGCAGAGGTATGCAAAGATTACAGTAAGTGTGCTGCAGACCCATACCTGGCTTTGCTACAGTCACTGGCACTGAGAATACAGCCCCGCCACTGATCCCACCCATGAGAACAGGAGTGTCACTTCCTTTAACACACCTGCAGCTCTGGGGACTCATCATTAAAATGTGCAAGATTTTCCAGTGAGACAAAGATAGAGAGGGACAGGCAGGTCTGCAATAGTTCCAGCATGTATATATTAATTACAGTTATAATAAACCACTAACCTAGTCATGTCCAAAGCATTCCCTGACAGGCAACTTGTAAGAAAGTGTGAAGCAACTTCTGAAACTGCCAAAAAAAGAATCCCAACAGGCTCATGTTCCCTCAGCAGTACCAAGAAGAGCAAGATCACTCCCTGACTCCACTGGACTACAGACAGCATGCCCCTGTATTTGCAAGTAGTGAATCAGTCTTGTGGAGTTTGCTTGCTCCATGACATAAATTGAACACAAAATATTACATTTTCCAGGGCCTTGGCCTTGTCTTACTCCCTGTAGTGCTGCCTGCCAATATTTTCTACAAACCCCCACCTAGAAAAGGAAGCCTCCCAGCATATTCCAGACTGGAAACTTACTGAGTCCAACTCTTCAGGCTTAATAGTGGACCCGAGCTTCTTCCAGATCCACCCTAGAAAACAAGCATTCAGCAACAGCTCACGCAGAGGCTCCAGAAGGAAAAGCAGACTGCAGGGAGAGCAGGGCTCCGCCTGTGATCCCCTGTGAGTCACAGCTCCTGACAGCTGGCCAAGCACCTCTCACCTCCAGGATGGGTGATCCCTGCCTGCCAGAGGGAAGGAGGGAGAGCTCTGCCGCAACTGAGCACACTCTGGGATTCCAGGCTGGGGGAGCTCAGGACTGCAGATGGCAGGGCTCCTGCCCCCGCCCAGCACAGACCCGCATCCAAAGAGAGCCTCACTGTGCAAGCATGAAGCTGCGGCGCAGCAGGAACTCGCCCTGCTGAGAACACACAGGCTCTGTCTCACTGCCTGATCCTGCACAAACCAGGTAACGTGTTCCTGGCGCCTGACCACGGCCTGCCTGGTGCCAAGCTCTGGGCCTGACACAACAGCATTGTGCAGCAGGCACAGAGTGGATTCCCAGGGCATTAATCACTCCCCCCAGTCTGCATGCATGCATGCTCAGCACACACTAACATTACCTTCATGGAAGACTGCTTATCCCATTTTGCTGTTAGCTCTGGAGTGTGTCTGGTCCAGCGTGGGCTGATGGAAGCAGGGACCAGAATGAAATGATACCTATTAACTCTGTTACAATATTGTTTTGAGCTCTTCGGCAGGACTGGGTCAGCCAAGAAACACCATTTGCACATAGACTCTGACAACTTCTACCCCTCCTCTTCTTGCAGCTGAAATTGCAGGGTAAGAAATCCCAAATAATGGACTCACCAGCATCAAATGTAATTGTCAGGCACTTGCTAGAAGTACCATCATCTAGATGGAAGCAGGACTACGAAAGATGCTGAAGCAAGGATTTTAAACACTTAAGAGATAAGGGAGCAATGTGAAGAGGCCATTTAGGCTGATTACAAGAAGTATTAACAGCTGAAGTAAAAAGGCAGACCCAAAGGGTTTGAGGACAGTTAATCCACTCCTATGCCAAAGCACTGCTCAGACCATGAGATAAAAAACAGTAAAGCATGGATGCCACAAATTAAGCAGCAAGGAAACTAAACTTAACAGGTGCTATTGCCACTTGTTTCTCCACAAAATAATACATTCCAGCTTCTCACTCAAGAAGCAGCACTGTTAGAACTGACTATGGAGAGTATGACTGCACTGTAACTGAAAAACTAACATTTCACCAAACAGACCAAAATATACCATGTGGGCTCCCACAGGCATGCAGGATTTGCACAGGAGGGACAAGTGGATTCTTGTCCAGTGGATGTCTCAGTCTCTGTAAGAAGTTTAGAACATCCATGAGCAGTAGACCAGGAATGGTCATATTCCCAGAAATGTACAAAGACAAGCTTGTCACAAAATGGTTAGAGAAATTAATATCAAAAACATTAAACAAATGCTGTCAGTGATCTTTTTAAAAATTGGAAAACACCTTCCATTTCACCTAGGTCTTTCCATACTTCCTCCATTATAGCTCAGTGTCTGTACACTAAAAACACAATCCACCCCCAGTGACAGAGATACCCCTCAGTTCAGTGCATTCTTCAGCTGCTGGAGGACTGGCTTTGACAAGAGATCTGCTGCAGCTCTTGCTGTGCTCTAGGCTGCAGGATTAGTACCCAGCACACAGTGGGAGGAACCAGCAGTTACGCTTGGCTTCTCACACCATTGTGTCAAGAACAGAAGCTTACTAACTACATACTAAGACATTTCTACCTTTTTCCTCTGTTCCTCCCTCTATTCCCCAAATCTGGACAGCCTTCCTTTCCTCCTCCATACCCCAATGCATCTGCACAGCCTACATTGTCCTCAATAACACTTCTAGGACAGGACATTACCTGCACACCCTGACTGCTCCCACCGGCCTTCAGAGCTGTGGCCACCCACACTCCCTCTCCCTGCTCAGAGCAGAACATGTTGCTCTGTAAAGCTCCCCGAGGTCCCTGCTTGCCTGCACATTCCTGGGTGGAATAAACAATACCCCGTTGAGCCAGGCTGCCTGGGCCCCAGCTGGAGATGGTGCCAATGCAGGGACTGTGGCTGCAGCAAATGCAGAGCTGATCCTGTGAATCCCAACAGAACGGACAACGCAGCAAGCAGGGCAAACCCCCAGCTAATGGTGCTGAGGAGAGGAGCCTTCTCCCACCACGGAATGCTGATCACTGCAGCTTCTTGATAGGACACGCTGCTTGTCTCAGCAGATCCCAGAGTCCCCCAGGTGAGCTTCACACAGTGAATTCTTCACACAAGAGAATTCTTCTGCACTCCACCTTCTAATGCCACATAGCTCCCAGGAGGAAGAGGAACCTTCTCACACTAAAAAGAAATAGCTGCTTTTGCTTTGTCTGTGACCTGATATACCAAAAATCATTGATATGAATACATTTTTGGTTGGCTCACCGACCCCTGAAGAACCGGGGGTATCAAGTAAAGGGCTGTTTTAGCAAGCTCTGGCCTCCCGGCACACCTGTGTGGCACAGGAGCTCTGCAGTGCACCAAACAAGCCATTCAAACTGCTCCTTCTCTCCAGCTGGGCTCTGGCTGTCAGTGTTCTCACCTGCTCTGTTGCAGGATGTGTCTGAGGGCAAGCTGGTGGTTGTTTGTGTGAGTAAAGAGTGGCGTGGCAAGGAAGCAAGAGGAGCTCGTGCTGAGCCAGACGGCAAGCAAACAAAAGTCATCTGGAAACTAGAGCACAGCATCAATTTTTAATGCAAAGCAGAACACAACACGTGAGCAAGATGACTGCGATGGATATTTAATCTCTGGCTGTAGGGTACAAAGCATGCAAAGGCCAGAACACCAGGTTGGGAGACAAGAGTTTCCCAAATTCTGCATGCTGTGGCAGCACACACAGACTGTGTTACAAAGTCCTGTCTTCTCCCACCCCAAGGCACATGGTTGTGTCTCTTCCCAGTTTTGCAGACAGGCTAAAATTATACAGCTTAGAATAAGGAACAGACAAAACCCCAAGAGTAGGATCACCATTGATGTGCAGTACCTGTGGCTGGGCTACAGGTGGTAAGTAGCATACAATTACAAAATTAGTCATTACACCTTGAGTACATATCCAGAACAAGTTGAACTGGGACTGCAAGGACATTCCTCAACACTGTAACACTTGATTTTGCACCCTGAACAATATTCTTCAAGATAACTTTTGGATAGAACCCCATTATGATGCTTTGGCTGCTGGGTGGGGAGTCCAGAAATCTGAAAATTACTTGAGTTTGACTTGGAAACTCTGTTCTTTGCTCACCACCATTCCTGTTCTGTACTGTATCTCCAAAGAACCTCAGTCCCCAGCAGGGACTCTGCTGCTACCCAGACCTCTTCCTTTCAGAGTCCCTAGGTGCTCCTGAGAAGGAAGCAATAAATTTTATCTCCCCACATAAAGGTTCTAAAAAGAAGGCAAAGTAAAAACTGTGTCATTCAGAAGTGGGGTTGAGTAATGTGATTAGAAATATACTTTTGCTGGAGGTTGAGGGGAAATTATCAGTTAAGGCAGTGAAGTGCTGAGGTAATCACAAGTCAGGCTGTCCCACCTAAGCTTACATCACCACAGTCACAAAGTCCATCTGAGGTCACCCACTGCAGGGACACCTCAATGGCACTCAGAACCCCAAGAGGTCACACAGCCATGGTTCCCATGACAGCTGGCAGAGGTGGTGCCCTGTAAAGCTCTGAGAGTCACTCCTTTCCTCTGCCCCTACTGCTCAGTTCCTCCCATCCCATTATCAACAGTGCTTTAAAACTGTTCTATGTTCAAGCTACTTTTTAATGTCACTGCTAATTCTAAGCAGAGCAGCTGGAGAGACAACTGAAACCTTTGGCCCTGACAGAAGAGAGGATCTCACGAACAGAAAGTGGAGGCCAGCTCAGAGACGTGGGCACGCTCGGCGCTGTGAGGCCTCACACACAGGCAGGACACATTTAGACACTGCCCAGCACGACTCACAGCCAGCGTGAGTCAAGATGAGGGGGATGATGGTGACGTCTTGTAGCATGTACAGAGGCTGTATTTGGCAAAGCATCTGCAAAACTGCAAATTCTGTATCTATGAACTCTTTCAGATGAAGAGATAAAATCTCAGTGGAAGCAGAGGCAAGGGGAAAGAAAGCCTTTTCAGAAGAAACTGAAAGTTATGGAATAATGAAAAACGTCAAAGCAGACGTTTACGTGTATGACACAACCAGAGGCTTCCTAGGTACTACAGCAAGAGAATGAAAGGCCAGAAGTGGAGAGAGAATTTCAAACAGCAGGAGCAGCAGCAGAGATGTTTGAACCCAAAGGCCAAATTACATCAAGGACAGGACCAGCTGAGGTACCACTTAAGGTCAGCAAAGGGACAGCAGAGGAGCAGCAGCTGCCTCTCAGAGTATTCTGAGGGTGACCCAAGCCTACATCCCCTGGCAGGGACACTGGAGGAGACACCTCCAGTTCATCTCTGATAAGTACAAGGCAATGGGGCCAGGCAGCCAGTGTTGCAAGAAGGATTTGTGTTTGCAACAGTGAAAACAAGAGAATTCTGTTCAGTTTCTCTTTTCAGGCTGCCTGGAACCGAGTGAATGCCCTCGGAGGAGCACCCGGGAAAGGCACAGTGCTGCAGCCTTGAGCTTCTGCTCTCTCTGTACAACCACTTGTGCCACCCTCACGGGTGCAACAACTCCAGACTCCCGGTGCCAAACCACTGTGGGACGGCCACTAATTTCTAAAGGGCCAGGTGCTCTCCTGTAACAAGCTGTCCAGGCAACACCAGCTACCATCAGCTGCCTGCCTGCCTGGTGGTGACCACCCGGCTCACACTGCCTGAACAGACACGGCTTAAGAGACCACAATCCCAAAGTGCAGTGTGGGGAGCAGACGGGCGGCTCCCGCGGTATCGCACAGCTGCTCCACGCTGCCCGAAGTGCTGCCAGGGCAGCGTGTGTGCTGTGGGCCGGGGCACAGCGAGCACCCAGCTGGGCACGCAGGGCTGGAGGGCCGCACGCTGCCCTGGCGCGGCGGGCACGAGGGGAGCGCACCCACCCGAGCCCGCAGCACCGCAGCCCGGGGCACCCGCTGGGGCCAGCGCGGCCAGGACAGCCCCCGGCACCGGCAGCGCCCTGCCCGCGGCCGGCGGGGCCCGGTGCGGAGCGCGGGAGGCGCCGCGGGGCG